GAGCAAAAAGGTTGACATACACACACACACACTCAAACTGCACACACCCACAATCACCCTCAGGCACACACACACACACACACACACACACACACACACACACACACACACACACACAAACTCCCCCCACCCCCAATGGGCTTCAGGGAGCCCATAAAGTAGGCTCCTTTCTGGGTTGTCACAAACCCCGCTCCCTCTTGGACAGGACTACATGGGGTTTGACCATGGACATCCTTGTCCCTCCATCAGCAGGGTAGACAGGCAGTCAGGCTGGAACAAAGCCTTGGCATAAGCATGGGGGTCACTGGCTTCCTGTACAGCCCAGAGCCCAAGTCCTGTACCAGAGGGGCACAGCAATCATGAAGATCCTGAGAAAGAACCAATGTTGCTTCAGGGCAAAAGCAAAGTTGACATTCAGGACCAAGAGGAGAGGCAGACACATCATCCACCTACAGCAAGAACTGCTTGGACAGGTGAGCAGCAGTCTTTCACCCACTCGTGGCATTCAAATACCTAAGAGATAGTGCCAGGATTCCTTGGTGTTCTCATTATACCATGCTGGCCTTCTTTTAATGCCATATTACTTCCTCGGCCAGTGTCTTCTCGTTTCTCTGCTGCCCTCATCTGAAGAACAGCTAACACTGAAAAAGTAGACAACCACAGGCCTTCTCTAGAAGGTCTGGCCCCTGGCCTGGAGGCCAGCCCTCACTGCCCATCCTAGCCGCCTGCCATACCTGTGGTCTGATCCACAAGGACCCGGGAGTTGATGATTCGCCCAAACCGAGAGAACATGTCCTCCACATCCTTCTGGGTCATGGTCCTTGGGAGCCCGCTGATGTATAAATTGGCATCTTTGATGACCTCTGAGCTCGGGCGAGCATATGACACCTTAAAAACACAAACGGTTTCCTAGGATTAGGGCAGGTAGGTGACCAAAGCCCTAAAAATTGGAGTTTAGAAAGGCAAATGCTGTGTAGAAAGTACATGAAGGACTTTTCATTAAAGCCCTCATCATTAGCAGCAGCAGCAGCACATGCTGGCAGCCTGATAGGGACCAGACACTGGACAGTGTGTTCTTGCCTGGTCATCACCAGTCACAAGGCAGACATCATTCCTAGATCACAAAGTAGAGACTGTGCACCCACAGCATGGGTGGGCAGGGTCGGGATCCAAATCTGGACATTCTGTGGTTCTACCTGAGTCTTACACCCTTTCTAGTGTGCAGCACAGTGAGCTAGGGCTGGGAACAGGACCTGGTCTCTGAGAGGAAGGAGCCTGCCACAGAAGCCCCTCTGAGTAAATACAGCATCCCCTGCCAACAGGGCATTTGCCACAGAAGCCTAATGGGGCCTCTCCGGCTCTCTAGGGGTGCCTGTGCTGGAGGCTCCAGAGGTAATGTGTCAAAAAGAGTTTGGAGCTTTCCCACACTGAGGCTGAGGCTGTGGTCTCCACAGACCAGAAGGGATGGGACCAAGGCCACTTTGGGCTTTGGCCTACAGCCTCCCCTGAATTCTGTCCACAGTGCTCTCAAGATTCCTGGTTGCCCATCAACCAGCAACCACTCTCGTCTGAGGGCAGCACCTCCAACCAACCATGTGCCTTACCAGAAACCATGGTGAGAGCACCACATCTGGGACAGGATGGCTCCTGTCCCCCAGGGTCTTGTCTTTTCTTTTTGTTGGTCATGGTGCTTGAACTCAGGGCCTGGGTACTGTCTCTGAGCTTTTTTTGCTCAAGATTAGTGCTTTACCATTTTGAGCCACAGCTCTATTTCCAGTTCTCTGGAGGCTCACTGAAAATAAGAGTCCCACACTTCGCTGAGTACCGGTTGCTCAGCCTCAGGAGGCTGAGATCTGAGGACCATGGTTCAAAGCCAGCCTAGGCAAGAAAGGCCCCATGAAACTCTTATCTACAACTAGCCACTCAAAAACCGTAATGGCACTGTGACTCAATTGGTAGACTGCTAGCTTTGAGCAGAGAGAGGCTCAGGGACAGCACCCTGGCCCTGGGTTCAAGCCCCACAACTGATCTCCCCCTACCCCCCCAAAAACCAAAAAAACCTCACACTTCCCTGCCTGGGCTGGCTTCAAACAGTGATCCTCAGATCTCAGCCTCCTGAGTAGCTAGGATTACAGGCGTGAGCCAGCAGCACTCAGCCTCCCAGGGACTTTCTCAGCCTATAGCTGGGCTAGCAGGTGCTGCTGCCCTGGACCACGCTGTCCTAGGAGTTGGCTTCTGCAGATGGTCCTGCCCAGGCTGACCTGGAGGATCAGTTGCTCCTCAGTTCCCAAACTGAGAACCACTGGCACCAGTGTAGCAGAGATCAGGCTGGCACTTCTGGCACTTGTCACTGTGCCCCAGACACAGTGTCTCCTCTGGGAGGAGAAACACCTACTGGAGACAAATGCTGAGGAGAACTTCCATGCCAAAGGGCAAATGATGTCTTAAGGAACAGACCTGTCTTCCTCTTCTCTACAGCCACTGTCAAAGTTAGAATCAAACAAGAACCACATGGGGCTATGCTAGAGCAGCTAGCATTGGCAAGTGTGCAGGGACCCCCCCCCCCCCAGGCATCCTCATACTGCTGCTTGCTGGCACCTGAGAACTCTTTCCTAAGCTTCCAGCAACACTTGTTCCTTGGCATCAATCTGGTCCTTTCTTGTTCTCAGGAGCTCTCTGAGGAGGAGTTGAAACTGCGTGTCCCAATCCTTAATCCAGATTCTGATCCCTAATCCACAGTGACTGCATCCTTATAGAAAGGGGAAATTTGACTAGGCACTTGTGGCACAGGCTTGTAATCCTAGCTTCTCAGGATGCTGCGATCTGAGGATGGCTTTATTTTGTCATTAGAGCTATTGCTTTATCGTGACCCAATACACTCTATGAGCGCAAACTGCAGTGATCATTGCTGTATCCTCAGCACCCAGACTCAGAGGAAATGCCTCAATTCCTAAAGGCAGCCATTTAGTAAATACTGTTGCTAGTGCTAATGCTACCTGACACATCTGTAAGTCATCCTAAAATTCAAGAGACTGCAGCAGGAATATGGAGTATGAGGCCAGCACAGGCTACATATTAAGACCTTTTCCTCAAACCAAAAAAAGAACTCTAGCTTTGTGCATCCCTCTACCCTTGCTCCTTTCCATGGAAAGGAGCAGAAGTTACACCATACTGGTTCCTGGTGCTCCTCTCATGCGGTGTTGGGGGAAGGTGCTGGATACGTGTTGAACGTGCAGTTTCAAAAGCCTGACTTTGCCTCTCTCTCTGAGACCTTGAAGAAGCCATTGTACTGTGGGGCACTGACTCAGTGGCTTTCATCAGACCAGAACTGTGGAATACTGCTTGATGGCAAGACTACTACTAAATAATCTGGGCATGACAAGGACCCACAAATCCAATGGTCTTTACTATGCTGCACGAGTGAGTTGCCCTTAAACTGAGGGCACTCAAGGTGGTGTCGGCACTCTATCTGCAAGCACTGGGGTTGCTGCTAAGCAGTGAGGGTGAATCCCCAGGGACAGCTTGAGAAAAGGATGGAGGGCCATCATATCCATGAGAGGCTGGACCGTTTCTACAGGACCAGGGTAGTTGTAGGAAACCATACAGAGCTAGACACTCATGGTCCAAGGCAAGGCTGCAAGCAGCACGGCAAGCTTCGACCCGGTGACAGGGAGGAATGGCGTCTGCCCAGGTCTGCTTGCCTGCCGTCTTGTGTGAGATTCTAGGTCTTGTCTGGGGAAGGGTCCCCTTCTGCCAACATCAACCTCAACCAGGTCAAAGCAAACAGGCCAACACAGGGATATGTGTGTGTTGTTTTTTTTAACATCTGAGTAAACAGAAGTCCAGGCTCATGAATTATGCCATTCTCCACCTCTCCCTGCTGCCTCAAGAAACAAGAACATGAGCACCTTTGTAAATCAAAGTTGAGACAATTCCTCAGAAGCGAGAAACACACTCAGGACTGGCCAGGGCATATGGGTGGCATCAGTAGCCTTCATCATGGAAGGGGCCTTTGGGAGCCTGTGCCAGATCCAAGGATGAACGAGCCATGTTTTTGCCAGGGGACAACTCCATACACCGCACAGGGAAGGCACAAGGACCTGCCATGGGTTATTTCCAGAGAAGGGTTGGCCACCAAGATCAGAGAACAGTGTAAAGCCAGGGAAGAAGGCTATCCTCCAGCCTCCAGAAGGTTTCCCTGGTGGGCTGGCAAAAACTAATGTTCCAGAGGTTACCCTACAGACTCACTCTAGAACTAAGTATAGCCCTGGACATCGAGATTTTATATTTCCTCAAGTGGTCTGGCTATGATGGAAGCCTAGGAAACATGGCCTAGTGCCAGTCCTAAGAGGATCCTTTACCCCCTTCCCTCACGGGAAAGGACAATTTTGCATAGGACGATCTCCTCAGTGCTTCGGATGAAGAGAAAGATCCCGCAGGCATACGTTTTAGGAACAAGACATAACAAGCCAGGTCTCTGGGTACCTTGCGAAGGCTTGCACTATAGGGCACTATGCCCAGCAAACTGGCTAGCTGAGGCACAGAGCCAGGTATAATGGGGCCAAGGCTCAGGGGAGGCCCAGCAGTAGTCTAGACAGACAGTGGACAAGGGGACAACGGTTGGGAAACAGAAAACTGGTCCTCTGCAGTAGGTGCTGCCACAATTAGGGGAGCCAGCAGACAGACCTTGAAGTCATGGTGGGGGAGGGGAGGTGCTAGGCTGAGAGCACTGGATGACTGTCCAAATGGAGGGAGGGCAAGGGCAGCCGGTTCAGAAGGACCCAGAGGCAGAGGAAGCTGGTCTCTACAACAAGGACAACCTTCTGATTCTACAAGGAAGCCACCAGAGCCCTGCCTAGGGTCCCACCCCCAGAGTACTGCATGGGTAGCTCCCTTCCCATATGTCATGCTGAAGCCAACCTCCACAATGCCTGCCTGTGCCTTTCTATCATATCTTGTTTATTGTCTGCAGCTTCTACCCCCATCCCTGGCTCTATGACTGGGACTCTGTTTTAGTCACTGTGTAAAGAGTTTATTGAGCAAGCGCTCAGTGAACACATACAAAATGGATATTAAAATAAACTGGTGAGAGAAAGCTTCTGATTTGCCTGAGGCAGAAAGGGATGCTGGGAAAGGTGAGATGCTGCCACAAGCCAGGAATTCAAGGAGCAGAGCTGGCCCCAAGCTTACAGGATGGGAGGCATCCTGGGATAGGAACATGGCAATACAGACGAAGAGACAGGCAGAGGAGGCTTATGGAGGAATCTGCTTGTGTATCAATGTACCCTGGACTGAACGTGAAGACTGACCTGGTGTACAATCCCTCTGTGAGACCTTTTATGGTAGGGCCAAGGAGGCCCATGAGCCACCTGAGACATACATACAATTGTGCGTCTGGTGGAGGCCCACAGATGCAGAATGGTTCCCTAGACAATGACAGAGAGGCCCGATCAGGACATAACAAGACTCCTGCTGGAGACAGGAATGGAGAAGGTCTGATCTGATCTTTTTACCTTAATGGTTTTTGACTGGAGCCTCAGGCCATTCAGCGTGCTGATCGCTCTCTCCGCGTCCTTTGCAGTCACGTAGTTCACAAAGCCATAGCCCAAGCTGTGTCCTGCATGGAGGAACATGAGGACATTGGTAAACCGGCTGCCAGCTAGCAGGTGGAGAGGAACAGGGAGAAGCAACAGGAGTCTATCTCATCAGGTTCAGGGAAAGGTCAGAAAAGAGATCACAAAGGTAACAATGTAAAAGTCAACAGAAGTAGCCTCTGGGGAAGTAAATACAAGATGGTGGCAAGCTTTCTTTTCTTAGTAAACTGAGACATTTTTACAATAAGCAAAGGTAGCTTTATAACTAGTAGTTATTTTACAAAGAAATAATGCAGCTCCTGGTTGCTAGCTGTTCTTTAGGGCTGTGTGGGTAAGGACCTGGAGGGTTGAAATGGGCCAGGCCAGTGGTTGATGGACAATGGCTATCTCACGTTCCTAGGGCTTCTCCACCACCTCATTCCCCACAGTGGGAAGGGTTGCTAGGCTCTGATACCAGCAAGCACTCATTCCACTCGCTTTCCTGAACCTGATGCCAATTGGACCCAGTCAAAGGGAAGGAAGAGCTGGGAGTCCAAGGAGAAGCCGTAACCAAGGGAATCCTTAGGTGCTCTGCACAGTTCTGGCTCTGGTCCAGCCCCAAGCTTCTAGGACCTCTCTTGATAGCAAATACTGTACTCTCACCTGCTCAAATTCAAGGAAGTCACCAGGGCCATAAAAACGTTAGACCTTCACAAAGAAAGCAAGGTGCCAGGTAGGGTGTCCCCATGTCATTTTTGTGGAACACTTGGGACAGACAGAGCAACCACCTACTAGATACTACAGAAGGGGTGCACATTAGCAAAGAACCTCAGAGCTGGACACTGGTGGCTCATGCCTAGCTATTCAGAAGGCTGAGATCTGAGGATCACAGTTTGAAGACAGCCTGGGAAGGAAAGTCTATGAGACTCTTATCTCCAATGAACACCAGAAAACTGGAAGTGGTGCTGTGGCTCAAATAGTAGAGTACTAGCTTTGAGCACAAAAGCTTACCGAACAGTGCCCAAGCCCTGAGTTCAAGCCTCACAACTGACAAAAATAAACAACAAATAAATAAAATGGAAAGAACCTCAGAAGACAGCCAGTCCTTCTGCAGGAGAAGCAAGAGCAAACCACACCATCCCAGCTCAGGCTGTCACCCCATCACTGGCACCCACTTTGTTCTGCTCTAGGCCTCAGACAGGACAGCTTCATGATGCTAAGAGGCCACACTTCAGCAGAGATCCTTGCACAGGCTGAGCCAGATGCAAATGGAACCCAGAGCGCACACATAATAAGACAAGGGCCTAACCTACTTTACTATTTTCTTTTAATTTTATTGCCACTTTTCAAGTTTCTGGGTTTGTTTTTTTTTTTGGGGTCCGGTCATGGGGCCTGAACTCTGGGCCTGGGAGCTGTCTCTCAGCTTTTCAGCTCAAGGCTAGTGCTCTACCACTTGAGCAACAGCGCCACTTCCAGCTTTTTTCTTTTTGCTTATGTGGTGCTGAGGAATCGAACCCAGGGCCTCAGGCATGCAAGGCAAGTGCTCTACCACTGAGCCACCTTCCCAGCCCCTTCTGGATAGTTTTATATTTGCAGAAAAATTAAACTAATGTTCACATTTTGGTTTTTCTTTAGGGTTTTTTTTTTTTTTCTGTCCCAGGATCCCACCCTACATTTAGTCCTCCTGTCTCCTTAAGCCTCTTCTGAGACTGTCTGGGAGAGACATGCATTATTTATAACTCTGCATAGGCCATTTTATTTTTTAAAGAAACAAAAATCTCTGGGCTAGGAAGGTGGCTCAGTGGTAGAGCGCTTGCCTTGCATGCATGAGGCCCTGGGTTCCATTCCTCAGCACCACATAAGCAAAAAGAAAAGAGCCGGAAGTGGTGCTGTGGCTCAAGTGGTAGAGCGCTAGCCTTGAGCTGAGGGACAGCGCCCAGGCCCAGAGTTCAGGCCCCACGACCGGCTCCTCCACTCCCCGCCCCCCCCCCACACACAAAGAAACAAAAATCTAGCCCTCTACACCCTTTTTTTTTGGTCGGTTGTGGGGCTTGAACTCTGGGCTTGGGCACTATCCCTCAGCTCTTCAGCTCAAGGCGAGCGCTCTACTACTTGAGCCACAGTGCTACTTCCAGTTTTTTTGTGTTTTATTGGAGATAAGAGTTTCACAGACTTTCCTGACTGGGCTGGCTTTGAACCGTGATCCTCAGATCTCAGCCTCCTGAGTAGCTAGGATTACAGGCGTGAGCCACCAGCACCCAGCCTTCTACATCCTTTTTATTGGTGCCAGTCTTGGGGCTTGAACTCAGGGCCTAGGTGTCATCTCTGAGCTTCTTTTGCTTAAGGCTAGAGCTCTACCACTGAGTCACAGCTCCACTTCCAACTTTTTGGAGATAGTCTCTTGGATTTTCCTACCTGGGCTGAATTCAAACTGGTGCTAAGATCTTAGCCTCCTGAGTAGCTAGGATTTCAGATGTAGGCCACCAGTGCCTGTCCTTTTTTCTTTTTTTGGGGGGGGGGAGGGAGCGGGGAGGAAGGTGCACAGGGCTTGAACTCAGGGCCTGAGCAATGTCACTGAGCTTTTTTGCTCAAGGCTAGTGCTCTACTACTTTGAGCCACAGCACCATTTCTGTTTTTGAGTGGTTAATTGGGAGGTAAGAATCTCATGGAGACTTTTCTGCCCACACTGTCTTCAAACCATGATCCTCAGATCTCAGCTTCCTGAGTAGCTAGGATTACAGGCATGAACTACCAGTGCCTGGCTTAGATCCAGATTTTTAACAAAAATTCACCCCTCAAGGACTGGAGGTATGGCTCAACTGGTAGAGTACCTGCCTAGCAACCATGAGGTCCTCAATTCAAACGTCAGTATTGTTGACAAATCAGCCATTCAACCAAAAAACACCTTGGCTCCATAGCCCTGAACTAAGTAAGATGCTGCAGCAGGGATGCAGAGCCAGAGCTCATCAGTTCAGAAAACTACTAACAGCATCCTGTCAGGAATTGCAGGGTCTCCATAAAAGTTCTAGAACACAGGCCAGGTACAATGGCTCACATCTATAATCCCAGTTACTTGGGAAATGGAAATATGAATTAATCAGACTCCCATCTCAACCAACAAGCCATGTGGGTCACAATGTGATCCCAGCTATATGGGCAGTGTAAATAGGAGGATCAGGGTCCAGGCTAGCCCAGGCAAAAATGTGAGACCCTATCCAAAGGATATCTGTACCTTCAGCTCCCCAATAAACTGCTTGGCAGCCCTGACCAGTCCTGCCACATTGGCCACTGCTGACATGGAAGTGCTGCCCTGAGGCTTTTGGGGACGTTGACTGTATGAACTCTTATTCTTGGGACCTCTTCCAGGATATGCAATACCACCAGGTTCTCTTGTTCCCGTCCCTCCTCAGGTTCCTCCTCCATCCACTCCTCCTAACAATACCCAAGCCAGAGTATGCTTGTCACCAAGGAAACCACTGCACCTCAGCCAGCCACTGCTTCTTTCCTTGATCTGAGTCGACATGTCAGCTGAGCATTCCTTGAGTGCCAGGCCCAGGGTTTGGCAATATTCACAATAGGACAGGTGCTGCAGTAATGAAGTGATCATGTCACTGGCGACCAGTGAGGAACAATGAGCCAAACCTGGGGAGCTGGCATGAGGCGACCTCCGTGACTTTGTCAGGATGGTCAGGAGGGCCACTGGTGGTAGAGATGACCTTGAGACAAACTGCCTGAACAGTCCAGACAGAAGGGAAAATGCCAAGTCCCGGAGGTGGATGTGGAAGGATTGTGGTTTGTCTTGAAAAAGGAGGCAGCCAACCCAGCTGAGAAAGCTTGCCCAGGGAAATGTGGAGGTGGTCAGGAGGAGGTGGTTCACTTCTACCACCACAAGGAGGTGGTCAGAGGTGGGGCGGAAGCTGAAGAACTCAGTGTGGCAGGAGAGGCAGTAGAAGAGGTCCTAGGAGGAAGCAGCCCCTGGCATCTCTACAGGCTGGGAGTTCCAAGCTGTGCCCAAGGACAGCAGGGCTTCCTAGGGGGACCCTGGCCTAGAAAGTCAGAACTCAGGGTAGGAGCCTGGTGGGAGGTTTCATTAAGATAAGAAGCAGCCCAGTCCACAAGCTGCCAGTGCCAGGGAGGGATGTGCATTGCAGCTCCTCCTGTCCACTAGAGGCAGGGTGCCCTAAGTTAAAGCTCTGCCTTTAGGAGAGATGGGCTCAGCCTTAAGCTGGGGAGCCCCATGGGTGTGGGCCAAACTAGGCTGAGCAAAGTGTTAGACAGGCTACTGTGGTCTTGGGCAGGAGGGCTTTCCTAGAGTCAGCAGGACCAACCAAGACCCAGAAGTGGGTGATATGGTAGAAGAAAAAGAAGATGGAGAGAGGGAAGAACTGACAAAAAAAAAAAAGGATGAACTCTGGGCCTGGAATAAGAGGATGTCCCAGAGGGCAGTGTGCCTCAAGCTGTCACTTTGCTGAATTGTAGGGATACAATTCTGGCCAGAGTAGGGTTCTGGACACCAGTATTACCCTCCAACACCCCACAGAAACTGATCCTGTGTATCTGGGAGGGGCCATAGACCTGCCCTGCTGGTGATGAGGTCAGTTGCTGTCCTGGAGAAAACAAGGTTTCTCTGCATTGAATGTCTCCTGGAGAGACTAGAGCCCATACTCATATTTCCCAGTGTGTTTCTCTTGCTTAAGCATAGTCTCACACTGCCACACATGATGCTTTAGTCCTTAGTTTTGATGTGGGAGCCTCAGAGGAGCCTGGAGTATGCAGCTGGGAGAAGACAGGCCTTTGCAGTGAGGGGACAGGTACTGGGAGCTCTTTCTGTAAAGGCCTATGGGTGTCAGGGTAGGGAAAAGGAGGGAGTGAAATAATCAGGCAAAAGAAAAGAAGTAGACAAAGGACAAGGGTATTTTCCAGAAGAAGAAATATAGCCAGTAAGCAAATGAAAACAATGATTAACTTCACTAGGATTGTGAATTGGCACCAGGACCGGATGGCATTTGTCACGTATCAGGATGGTGGAGGAGAAATCCTGCCA